ATATATTTTTTTTACATTTTACCTTATTTGTATATTTGTATAGTTGTATTTTATATTTAATCTGTATATCTGTATTTATGTTCTACTGTTAGTGTTATCTGCATGCACCAAGGGTCTGAGAGTAACGCAATTTCAATTCTCTGTGTGTATGTGCTGTACATGTGGAAGAATTGACAATAAAGCAGACTTGACTTGACTTGAAACACCATAAAGTTTCCGTGCACTATATTTCAAGTGTTCTGAAGCCGTTCCATAGTGTAATCTGAGGTACAGATTAATATTTAAGTCGTTAAATTCAAGTTCACATAACTCTTCGCTCCGCTGCGGCTGTCAGTCATCTGCCATTCAGCATTCAAACTGCGCGTCGCATTCGGTTACGACAGTCAAAATGACGAAACTCTCTCTAGGATGATACAATGTTCCTACAAACGCGAGTTTTGGGCAGTGTAGAGTAGCGCTTGTTGTTTGTCATTTCTCCGATAACAAATGCAGACATGGTTTTATGTTTACACGGCGCGATGCAACGCAACGCGTAAAAAGACAGTATAAGTCATTATAATCCGTAATTATGTCCCCACTGGATGCAATAAATGCCTCGTTTATAATGGGTTTGAATGTTTTTGTCTCGTCGCTCCGGCCGGACAGGGCATCACAGTATGGTAGGGGCGTAACATTTCCGTCATACGCTTGAGGTATTCGGCCAATCACAATGCACTGGATAGCTGGCCAATCAGAGCACACCTCGCTTTTCAGACCGATGAGCTTTGTAAAAATCGATGCGTTTCAGAAAGTCGGGGCATAGAGGAGAAACAATAATGTACATTATGTGGAAAATAATGTGTTTTTTTAACCTTAAACCGCATAAACACATTTCATTGCACTAAATACACTAAATAATTTTCTTTTTAGCAACATCATATGACCCCTTTAAATACTACATTAATATGCATTATATGGAGGTAAGACGAAAAGAAAATACCATCTAAACTTTTCTGAAGACAGTCAGTTCCCCTCAGAGATACATTCATATAAACCCCTCACCCTCACTTCAGTATTAAGGATTTTCTTCCAATATTTCACACATCGTGAACTGTGATCTTACTCTGTATAATACAGTATTTTCTCCTCTTTGCAGCATCTCTGGGTTCTGTTAACGGCCATTTACAGTTGGTTTATTTGCCCAGTTAAAGAATTAGCCTAGTTGTGTGTTATTAATAGTTTTCTAACCATTATTCAGAAGTGTATACAGTTAACAGGGATCTCCTCTCAATTTGTGACACTGTCTACATTGCTTAGCCATTTGTACCAGTATGCCGTTTAAAAAAAAAATGCATACCGTGTGCGTAATTCAAACCGGTATATCCCCCAGCACTAGCTTTTAGTATTTTGTGTTCACTGGAATTGGTTAATTTTCTCATCAAAGCATTTCATGCAAGCAGCTTGTAAAGATTTCAAGTCATTATAATCACTAATATCACTTATGCTCTGGAAGGCTGCTTTGAATAGAAATTTAAGAAGATGACATTTATTTAAAATCACAATCTTTTGTAGCATTATAATGGTCTATACTGTCACTTTTTATCAATTTAAAACATCTTTACAGGATAGAAGTATACGTTTACAATAAAACTATGCATTTAATTAGTATGTGTTTTCCCTGAGAATCAAAACCATGACCTTGTCGTTGCGAGCGCAAGGAGCTACAGGGAAATATCTGTTAACACAAGGCAACATGTTATGTGATGTATATGACATGAAGACTTTGCTCTTTTCCTGTCAATGATTATGTTCTTTTCAAGGCCGAGATGGAAGTTAAAGAGTGTTTTATGTCTTTATTATAGTCGCCATTCAAATATTACAAATTGTACAATATTGAGTGTTTGTTTTCGGTGTCTTTGACTTGCGAAACACCTGTTGACCTCATTTGGTGTAGAAGACAGTACTTTTTTGCATTTCACTTTGATTAGTAATATGAAATATGTTCATTCACTTAGTCTCATCAGGCTTTTATCACTTCCATGATCTTAAGGAGGGATAGGGTCTCCTGAAGATAACAGGTTTGTTTGTGATGTTCAGAGCCTTATCCAGCTTAAGCATTGTGTAAGTAGATATCTTGACCTCACCAAGAGAAAGACAAAGGGTTAGCCAAAGGTCAACATCCTCTCAGTCATGAGACTGAGGACACACAAATCTTATTTAGTAATCATGCGTCTTCATATTAAAACAGGCCCTTCACTGCAGTGAGAGAAGAATTTACAGACAGAAATCATGTTTACAGAGCTAATAGTCCTGTTAAACCATCAAACTAGTATTCATTTTAGACATTTGATTGCTTTATATAACATCAAAATATTTTTCAGCCGTCACTGTTTGCTGTAGCCCGACTGTAGACCTCTTTTAGACACTGTAAAACAAACTCAGAAGTGTTTACAGTCCACATAGCTGGATGGATGGTCAGCTTTTGTCATGCTTTGCTTTATGAATGGAGCATACGTGACACATTCTTGCTATAAAGAGAAGTATGTTTGGATTTCAAGCTATTAAAAGCCATTATACATTACTTGCCGCCTTCAAACACACACCAGGGGCTTTTAGTGTCAGTAGTGTTAATGTGAATAACAGTACTGGCCTTATTGCTGTGACATTCCTCACCGCAAAGACCAGCCGGGTGTCATGTGAACAGGGTTGCATTACAGAATCATCCGGGCAACCAATGAATTTATGTCCTGTTACAAAAGGAGTTATATCACGGCAATGGCGCACGCTCATGTAACTTAGTATTGGACGTCATGTAACTGCACCTTTGTGCTCTGCGTAAGACTTATCATACCTGACAGTTACGATAGAGGATTTGCCAATGTGTATGATTCATAAACGTCAATAAAATTATGTAAATTAGATGTAGTTGTATAAAGTTTAAAATTATAATTGTTAGTTCTTAATGTAAATATTACATGGTTGAGGTCTCAGTAAATACTTTTGATTTGTTTTTATATTTGACTACCTTTTGGTTAGTGACTCGTGGGAATTAGACACCAAGAGAAAAATGTCTTATAATGGATCTAAATGCTCCAATATTAGTTTTGCATTGATCAGTGTAAGCATGAGCTTTTACTAGTTTAATCTATGCACTTTTTGCGATGTTTTTGTAGCGTTAGCCACCTAGTGGAGGATCATAAAACATTTTTAAAAATTTCCTTTTGGATGAAAAAGGATTACAAATATTTTAAACTTTTCATAAAAGATGACTTTATCGATAAATATAAGTTCATATTTTAATATTGTTCCACTTTTTTAAGAGATGTCACATACACAGTCAGTCACAATTTTCACATAGCCTACTTCTGTGCTTTAAATCAATGTTGTTTTTTTGTTTTTTTTGCTATGGTTATTTTCAGAGCTTGTTGGTTTGATTCAGGACTTAGTATTCTTTATTTAAGAATTATTATAAATGCTTATTGATTCATGCATAAAATACTCCCAGAATCAAGGTCACAATCACGATTGTGCTAATATTGACCAATGCCATTACTAGGATTTGTTTGAACTGTAGAACTCCTGCAGGATTAGTGTCATTTGTGGTGATGGCTTTGACTGTTGTCCTGTTGCGTTTAGGACTGATCAACAGAGCCTTTGTATTCCTGTCCTCAGCCTCTCCCTGCTGTTATCAGATGATACAAAACACACGCTCATTTGTTTCTCGTCGCCTCACAGCAGATTAGTGTTGAGAAGACGAAAGAGTTGCTGCTGAAATTAAGCACATTAGTCTGTGTATGGCTTAACTGGCCTATTTAAACTTAATGACTTTGTATAGATGAATGAACATGTCAAACAGCATCTTTAAAAATGCTTTAAAAAATCATATTACAATTAAATATTGTTTCTAAAGGTAATATTTGTAATAAATTGGACACATAATGTAATAAATGTACTGAACCTGAAATTAATGTTCAGCTGTGGAAAATCAACCAAAAATTCTGGAAACAAGGGGAATATCAACAATTGTATTTTTTGAAGTTATTATGATCAACTAATAAATTAATTTAAAGAATATAAAATCATTATAATAAAAATATAATATAATGTTTAAAAATATTATACAAATGTGTATAGATTATAATCACAGCACAAGTATGCATGTGTTGTTCAATGCAATTGACTTTAAACAAACTCCAAACTGAGACACTGAGGTGTGGAGAAACTAGAATACTAAACACTGATCTCAAAATAAATCTGGCCCAAACTGGCTTTTGGCTAATATTAGCAAACGTATACACTACAAAAAGTGCTTAAGAATATACAAATAAAAAGCTTTTTTTCTTTTGCTTCAGGTAATAGTGTGGCAAGTTCTTGAAGTTTCTCTGCCTTCATGTTTTGCTTGATGTTGCGCTGAATATTCTCACAGGCGAACACAACCTCTTTTCTGTCAATGTATCATCCATCATTAGAGCCAATTACATCTGGATAATTTCACACTCTTCTGTAATTGAATGTTAAAGTAATTGTTTCTGTTCACATTTTTCTACCTTGTAGCTGAGAGCTGAAAATGACAGTTATCTTAAAGGAATAGTTCACCCAAAAAAGAACATTTGCTGAAAATGTACTCACCCTCAGGCCCTCCAAAATGTAGAAGACTTTGTTTTCATCAGAACAGATTTGGAGAAATGTAGCATTACATCACTTGCTCACCAATGGATCCTCTGCAGTGAATGGGTGCCATCAGAATGAGAGTCTAAACAGCTGATAAAAACATCACAATAGCTCACAAGTAACCCACACAACTTCAGTCCATCAATTAACGTCTTATGTAGTGAAAAGCTATGTTTGTAATAAATCCATCAGGATGTTTTTAATTTTAAAACATTGCTAAAATACGAGTCCTCTATCCATAATAAATGAAAAATGTTTATTTTTGGGTGAATTATTCCTTTAAAGTTTTCTTTGGCCAATATTTTAGTGCATTGCCATTATTGAAACCTCTCAATTTCTTTTGTTTGCAGGTGATCACCTGTTTCGGGATCTCTGTGTTGACCTGTCGGTATGTGGGTTTTGCCGTGGTGGCTCTGTTGGTGGAGATCAATTCAATCTTTCTGCACCTGAGGCAAGTGCTCTGCATGGCCAGCTTGGCCAAAAGTACATTTTACCGTGTCAACAGCATGATAAACCTGGGCACCTATGTAGTGTTTCGCATCAACACTCTGGCCTGGATGACCCGCTGGCTGGTGCTCAATCGTGACCTCGTCCCCCTGATCAGCTACACCATCGGCAGCGTGGGTCTGGCCATCATGACCGTCATGAACATTGTGTTGTTTTACCGCCTGATGAGAAGTGACTTCATGAAGTCCAGCCGTGAGAAGGAGGCGAGGAAAGACAAGGAGAAAGAAATGTAGGAAGAGGACTCTTCCCACTCCAGCTTCAGCTCCAACCAAATCCGCTCTCTTCGCCACCATTCCCAGACTTTGGGGGAAAAAGTTCCTTTCAACCTGCTGACTTCATTCCTGTAACACCTGATCGTCGACTAGATCAAAGTTTAGTCATTTTAAAGACCTCAAGCTGTGCTAAGATTAGGATGGCTGTTGTCACAGGTTTACAGTTGTCTGACATGGATGACATATATTTACACATGCAACCTTATGCTCAAATACTCCTGCATGATTTATACAATGACTCAAAATGTTATAAGTTCTAATGAACTTGATCTGTTTACCTTTTATCAAAACATATGCTACCCCATGTAATGTATACATTATCTATTATATGTAAGCAAATATTCTGCTCAAATAGGAACTGCATATGTGGGATTTAAAAAAAATGGGGGGAAAAAATATATATACAAAGTTTGTCTACTTAATGAGCTTGTAGCAGTATCATCCTAATTCTATATCATTTTTAAATGGGCAGTTCGCTCAAATTAAAAAGTTCTTTCCTCTGTGGAACACAACAGGAGACGTTTTGTTCAATGTTCTCGCTGCTCTTTTCCGTACAATGTAAGTGAATGGTGACCGGGACTGTCATGTTCCATAAACAACATAAAAGTACTGTAACTTCTGAAGCCATATGACAGATATTTCAATTTTGGGTGAACTGTCTCTTTAAATCTGATGGAATTCCATTAGAGATTGTTTTTAGCTTAAATTCTCTGTACTGACTAGTGATAATGAATGAAATCACCGTGGACAGGATGTGCCCAGTGTTCACTACTGGATGGGGTCGGATTTAATTCGCTAAACATGACTGTAGTTTTACATTGTGGATGAATAACACTATTCTCGATTGATCTGTTGCCCTTTAAGTGGAGAATCTGAATCTCGATGCTGGAGTCTTCACAGCGGCTATCAGGAAAACACTCCTGCTCTTTCTTACAATGAAACGGAACAATGCATGTGAGGTCTGAGATCTGACAGGACTGTGATTGCACAAATCATGCCTGTAGGTGGCACTACACACACACACACACAACAGAGACCTCATGTTAGCTTATGCTAATACTTAGTCTATAGAGAGGCTATGATTAAAGTAGTACTTATATTGCTTTAAATGAGCTGAAATCTTTTTCTTTTTTTTAATAAAGCTTTGTAATTTTGTTTTATTTTGTATATTTGTAATTTATTTGTACTTAATATCATTGATTGTTATGGTTGGAGGCAAACTGCAAAAAAAAAAAAAGCAAAGAGCAAAATGAATGTTGTGATTTTGTTGGTGATTAACAAAGAACGGTCTTAGTCAGATGCACTAAAGGCATTGATTTGTTTAGCCTTATTTTTATATACTTAGTGCCATTGAGATTGTAGAATGAATTCTGATTATTATTGAATTATAGGCAAGAGTGGCTTGTCTGTCCGGTGGGAAAGTTGACGCACTGTAACCGCATGTAGCATCACCGACTTGTGCCACAAAACTAGTTTTTCAAAGTTTATTCATAATGTTTAATTAAGTTTTAATCTGGTGTACTCCTTCCTTATTTTTACTGTTTGTAAGAGTGATTAATAATTAAGGAAGTAAAAAGTTGAAAGCAAGTGAAATATAGAAAAATAAACGTGCACTGAAATTTTTTTTTACTGTTGGCAGCTTCATATTGAGTCTATGTGCTTGAATATGTGCTTCCTTAATGAAGTAACCGGTATCTGTATTTAAATGTATTTAAAAAAGAAAAATGTGTATTTTAGTTTTTGAGAGAAAACCAATGTGATTTCAAAGATTTCAGCTATGCGGTTGTCCTTCACTTGAGAGTGCAATTCTGTACTGTGTTTGAAAGATAAACTACTGTTGTATTGTGGATCTGATTTTTTGAGCATAGTGTTGCAGTGTTTTCCAAAGCCATAATTAAAAAGAAAAAAAATCACGGCTGGAAAAAGATAGATATACGTATATGCCCATTCCCCCAGGAGAGCACAACAAAAAGAAAACAGTCTTTTCCTTTTGCTTTTCCTTTCTTTTTTTTTAACCCTTGCTGTTTTAGTTAGCCTAATCATATAAGTTTTAAACAGTTGTATCTAAAATGTATATAGCATCATTTTATTTTTGTTTGGATTAATGATTGTTTTGTAATTAATATAAACAATTATTTGTATATGACCTTTATATTGTTAATCGTGAAATAAAACGTTATTAACACTTTATTTGAGATTATTATTTTGAGAAGTTGGGAAGATAATATACTTTATAATATAGGATAAAATAGAATTTGTTAATCCTTTATTGTTTAAATAAAATCCTTTATGATTTATATAACATTAAACAACTTTAATGTAGTTATACTTGTTTTATTTGTTGATTTATTGGCTCTAAAATGCATATACTGGCCTATATAACAACAAACTAAAAATAAAATAATCCGCCAAAAATAAAATAATTCAATATGCATACTCTTGGTTCCAGTTATACAAACAGAGAACAGTCAATATGCTAATGATATATTCTTGGAACGCCGCTCAGCCAATCAAATTCGAGGACTGGAACTAAACGTAGCTATAATTCAGCTGTACTTTTCAGCTCAGTTTATTTAGAGATTTGTAGCCTAATACATTATGCGCCTTAGCTCAACGTACCACTGCAAAGAACCGCTGGAGATGCGCCTGTGAGACGGGATGTGCAGTGGATAGTTCTGTTTCTGGTGCTGAAGGAGCCGCTTCCTGCTGTCTGTCTGTCTGTCATCGCGAGGATGAGGATGATGCAGTTCAGCAGACGCAGGACTCACGAGCACGCTTGTGCCAGCTAAACGTCGGATCACTTTAATCGAGCGTGACATTGTGGGATACAGGCAGCGATTGTACGTTGGCCAAGATAACGAAGGATTTAAATCTCGTCCTTCTCGCGAAACCTCTGCCGTTATTCTGGGGCAGATCCGTCTTTAAGTCTCTCTTTGAGAGGTGTATCGATCTTTTTTAAAGATGTCGTCATCCTATATGTTCATGGGTCGGTTCTTTGAAGGGCAGAGATGTGGAAGTGAAGGAGCACGTTCATTCTCTTCATTGTAACGCCTCGTCTGTTGGATACTAATATAAGCCGCGCTAATGGAAAATACGGTGAGTGTTGGATAATAGCCTATTATGCGCAGTTATCAAAGGCTTTTATGGCCATGTTATATGGGAAAGAGTGACTAATCAGGAGCTTATTTACGCTGAAATATTTTACAGTGGGATGTATATTACATAATGTGTCTGCGAACATAAATTGTTTCTAATAACATCTGTGGGTGTTTATAATAAGCATAATAACGCTCAGAAGTTTCGTTTGTGTCACTTAAGATCAAGTAAAAACGAAATGTTCAAATTATCAATAAAAATCATTTAAAAATATAAATTATATTGTAAACATTATAAAATTAATCAAATGTTTTAAAATCTAAAATGTGTTTAAAGGTCCCATGACATGCTGCTTTTTGGATGCTTTTATATAGGCCTAAGTGGTCCATAGTACTGTATCTGAAGTCTCATTTTCATGCCATGGGACCTTTAACAACCAAATAACTGGTTTTATTCAAGTCAAAAGTGTTATTGTTATTCAACAACAAGTAATTTCAAGGGGTCCGATCAGGTAGAAGAGAAAAAAATTTATTTATTTTTTTATTAAGGTGCATTTTTCTTTTATCTTTCACATACTTTCATTTAAAGCAAGTACATTCTCAAATGAGTTACCTAATATGAAATTAGCATCATCAACTTGGATTATTAGGATATAATATTAGATAAAATAAACTATTACTGCAAAATAAATAAATACACATTTTTTTGCACAACATTTGGCATTTCAGGGTCATTTTTGTCACTTGTTGGCATTATGTCCCAAGCCCCCATTCATTTGCTGACCCTAGTGTATATTTCAGCAGAACTGCTGCTAAAATTCATGGGGACCGGAATCAAACCGGTATGGATGCCCAGTGAGTAGGCTATACTACAGAACAGTGGTTCCCAATCCTGATCTTGTTGAACCTCCAACACTGCACATTGTGGATGTCTCCCTAATCAAACACACCTGGTTCAACTCATCAGTTAATTTGTAAAGACTCCAAGACCTCAAATATGTGTGTCCCATCAGCGAGACATCAAACGCGTGCTGTGTTGGTGGTACACAGCAGCCATAGATATCACCCTGCAGCCCAAGACTGGTTGCCCACTGAAGCTAAGCAGGGTTGAGCCTGGTCAGTAACTGCATGGGAGACCTCCTGGGAAAACTAGGTTGCTGTTGGAAGAGGTGTTAGTGAGGCCAGCAGGGGGTGGTCTGTGTGGGTTCTAATGCCCCAGTGTAGTGACAGGGACACTATACTGACAAAAAGCACCATCCTTCAGATGAGACGTTAAACCGAGGTCCTGACTCTCTGTGGTCATTAAAAATCCCAGGATGTCTTTTGAAAAAGAGTAGGGGTGTAACCCCGGCATCCTGGCCAAATTCACCCATTGGCCTCTGACCATCATGGCCTCCTAACAATCCCCTTATCTACTGATTGACTTCATCACTCTGTCTCCTCTCCACCAATAAGCTGGTGTGTGGTCTGGCGCAATATGGCTGCCGTCGCATCATCCAGGTGGATGCTGCACACTGGTGGTGTTTGAGGAGATTCCCCCCTTCTATGTAAAGCACTTTGAGTGCCCAGAAAAGCGCTTTATAAATGTAAGGAATTATTATTATTAATTACTTCAGGACCAGGATTGGTATTGGGAACCACTGCTATAGGACCTTAGTGGTCCCCTCTTATTACAGGGCCTTGTTCAACATTCTCGTTTGAATGTCTTGCACTACAACACAAAATATTTTACCAAAATATTTTATAATGGACTCCAGCTTTTACATTTCCTCACTGATGAGAGCAATCATGGAGCGAGAGAAAACATAGATGATCTGATATAAATAAGGAAATGTGAAACTCTCGGAATGCTGGAAATTTACATTAGAGAACTGGAACTTACCGTTATATAGGCAACTGTAAATATCCGTTTCGTTTGTTAAAGGGGTCACAGGTGGTCTCGCTGGAGCGGCAGGTGGAGAGTGTGGAGAGGAGTATTGTGTTCCTTAGACAAGAGCAGCTGTCTCTGCTGCATGGACTACATCTGGAGATCCTGTCCCTCCAGAAACGCTGTACAGGTGTGTGTCATGACCATTCCCACAGTACAGCCACCTGCATTTGATTTTGAGTTGTTGTACACACATGAAACAACATGCATAATTGAATTGAGCAACATTTTATTTATCATAAATCACAACTAATTCGATGTCATTCCAAAAATAATGTTGGCACACAATCTAATTGAGTTACCGTGCCCTAGATGCTAGGGGTGGGAATCACCAGAGGCCTCACAATACGATATTATCACGATACTTGTGTCACGATACAATATTATTG